TCGAGCAAACTGGTAGTGCGGGCCCTGCGCATTGCCTGCGGTTTTGATTCGAACTGGTAATACTGGCCTCTCAGCACGGTTTTCCTTCCTATCTCGCCGCCACCACCACCGCTTCTTGTGTGCAGTTTAACGTACCTTGTTTTTGTTTCATGATTCATTACTAGCAGTATTTAGTTGCTTTAGCTTTGAGAATGGGAACACGGAGACGCTCTTCGTTCTATTTTTCATGTCCATTTGACTGGTGAAAATCTATTTGGTGTGCCTGGCTTGTTTATTATAGTTTGTACCTTGTCAAGATATAGCTTGGTTGGGCCATTCATTCGATCACCAGGAATGACGATGCGCTTTGCGGTACGCGCGTTTTGTACGAGCAGAGGGCAGGTTGGAGATAACTGTATCACGACAATAAAAAAATTAAAATCTTTTTTTGACTAATGTGCCAGAAGCGCGAAAATTGTGCCACGCGGCGGTGTTTGACGTATGAAAGTCACAACTGGCTTCATGGGGCCACCGGAGAATAACATGATCAACTAGATACAGTTTAAACGAATGAGGCTGTAAATAGAGGGGAGATTTTGAGAAGTTGTCAATTGAGTAAAGAGTGCACTATATGTATGACGAATTCAGACGCTTTAGGAAGAAAATGCTCTATCGACATGCTTAAAGCCCCACGCTAGGACATTTACTTAGGCTGTGCTTATTCCTGCTTTATTTGTGCTTATTGTGCTTTACTAAGGCTGTGCGTATGATCCCATGAGGTGCCACAGTTTTGCAAAGTAGTTAACACAATTCTTCTGAATTTGTTCATTTGTGTCACACAGCGCCTGTTCTCTAGGGAATAGGGAGTCTCGTTCACTCTCGATAATGACGGCACCTTGATGAAAGCAGTTCAAATAGAAGGTTCGCCATCGATAAGTTATCGGCAGTGCTGATACACTATTTTTATTTTGCATATTGTCAGTCATCTGATATAATACACAGTTGGTAGAATCACTGGAGTCACTATACCAGTAGAAACTGTTGTATCAATGGTGAGATATCACGTACCATAGCGTGCAGCGTGTGGTGCATGGTGATGCAAGTATAGGGACGAATAGGAGTGTGGAGAGGTCTCACTGGAGTGAGTGCGTCGGATAAGTGGAACTCGCAAGTTCATGCTTACTCCCGGGACTAATTGTCTGTTCAGTTCATTTGGTTATTTGTCTCATATGAACAAGCCCCTCGGAAAAAAAAATATTGCGTTTTCTAAGGATCCCACACGTGATGGAGTCCTTCAACATGCAACCAGTGTCTCTACTACCACTGCTGAGACGGCTGAAGAAGTGGTCATTGCCCTGGCACTCTAAACCCCACCTGTCACACAATCATGTATGACTCGCTCTGCCGTTACTAACTTCAGCAAAGGCCGCATCTCCCCTCAAGTGCTTTGCATCCTTTGCCAGGCACCACGCTCTGAAGACAGCATGATCTCCTTGACATGGATTCTCGCCCATGCGGGCTCAGTCTACCCAGAACTCCCATACCTCAATAAGATCACCCACTCCATTGTGCGAGGCGTCCACCGCGCCGGAGTAACAGGAGACGAGTTCGACACTAGGGACAGTCTAAGTACAATAATATCGTTAAGGCATTTGACCTCGGACGCTGAGCCTTCCCCCCACCTTATTCCAAGCTCTGCAGGTGTTGACCACCACTCTACGTCTACTGAAAACCAACACGTATCCCTCACCTGCCAGCCTCGGCCTTATATCCTCGGACGTACACGCTACTCCCAAGTGTCGGTGCTGGGACACTCACTCGGATACACTTCCGCATATTTTTTTTTCATTTTATTTTATTTCAAGTTTTCTTATTACATTAAAATACACAACACTGGTTAGACCCATAGCCACTGGCTAGTAGGGGGCCTAAATAAATATGCATTTAAAGGAACAGATTGTGTTAACAAAGCAGATATTTTATAAGTACACTTCAATCATACAAGAAAAAAAGCAAAAAAATTGAAACAAAATATAAGAAGGAAACATATTTGTGATAAGTCATTTGCAGTATCTTGCAGCATTGTTCCATGCAAACAACGGATTGTATGTATACAATACATCAAATACATAAAAGTACGTATACCATGTCAAGTATGATTTCGTTAGACAAATAATCTATATATAACGAAGTGGAGATTACAACGAAGTGTGTGTTAGTGTACCTGTTCATTTTCCTGCAGAAAGTATTTTTTGAGAGCACAGGCAAAACTTTTGCTTTCTTTTATTTGGCATGGTATATCATTCCAGACCTTTACTCCAGCAAATTGTAGCAATCGTTTGCCATAAACATTGTTAGTAAGCGGAAGATTGAAATTATGTAATGTGGCACGTCTGGTAAGGCGGCAAGAAGATGCAAATATTGATATATGAAAGGGCAGGTTATAAGAAATGACATTATGGACGGTAAGTGCAATTTTTGCTGTCGTAAATTATCGAATGGTATGATTTCCATATTACGAAACAATGGCGCGCTGTGTTGATCATATCTAGCATTGTTTATTATTCGAAGTGCTCGCTTTTGTAGTATACGCAAGGGTTCTAGATATGTTTTAAAAGTCCATCCCCATGAATCTATGCAATATGTTAGGTGACAATGAAAAAATGTGAAATAGAGAATTCGGAGAATACTACTTTTAAAATAATTTCTAGCGGTTAATAATGTACTGCATTCAGATCCCAGTTTAGCGCATACAGAGTTATTGTGGCTTTGCCAGTTTAGCTGGCTATCGAGAATTACACCCAGATATTTGAATTCTTTTGTCTTCTCAAGCACCCAGTTATTTATTGTAATGCAAATGGACTCATTACTTATATCTCGATAACGGGAGTGGAAAATAGTGTATTTAGTTTTCTTTGCATTCAGTGTTAGTTTGTTCGCTATAAACCACTGACAAACATTTTTTAGTTCTGCATTACATTTATGCTCGAGATCCCTTATATTGTCTGCAGTAACAATAACGGCTGTATCATCAGCGTACATTAGCATCTCCGCCGATGTCAATATGTTTGGTAGGTAGTTTACGTACAGTGAAAACAGTAAGGGTCTAAGAACGGAGCCTTGTGGTACCCCTGTGTGTATATTTAACAGGGAGGAAGTGAGATTATGCATAATCACCATTTGTTGACGTTCGCTCATGTAACTAGAAAATAAGTCAAAAATTTTGCCACGTAAACCGTAGTGTCTTAATTTCATTAGTAATATATTATGGTCAACTGTATCAAATGCTTTCTTTAAATCAAGAAAAACTACTGCTACAAGGAGGTTATTATTTAATGCTTCGTTAATCGTTTGTGATACAGATAGTACAGCAGTGGCGGTGGAATGGTGCGCCCGAAATCCATGTTGCCCTTGCGCATATTACACGATATGCTGTGGGAGTGCCCGCCACATACATACACACTAACACCACGACCCTATTGTCGAGGCTGCGTGAGGCTTGGCGGAGCTCCGCCCTCGATGACCAAACATGGGCGACCTAGCACGCCCACGAAGCTGCCTCAAGGCAAGCCCTTGACGCCCTCTCGTGGGAGGCGTAAGCCCAGCTGCTAAACTTGATGATTTTTTATTATAAATGTGTATTACTCTACCTCCTTTTCAGTGTTGATTAAAGCTCATGTGTTTTTTCTGGATCGATTAAAGTCTGTGTTTTTCGCTCATGAAAGTGTTGTGCAATACGTGCAATACTTGGAATGTTATGAACTGTTCTGCTTATATTTTAGAGCACGGCATTTTTCCTGCTTTCTACACAAGACAATGGTAATATTGCGGTACTAAACAGTGCAAAGGAAACAAATAAAAAAATTGGTGCCATATCTGCATGTTTCACTGTAAATGTTGTCGAAAAACCATAGGCATCTGTCTGGAAAAATGAACAAAACATTTATTTGATGTTGTGCCCGAGAAAATTGGTGAATTGTATTTTGGAGGCGTTGCGTTGGCGGGTCTTGATCCGTGCAGCGAAGGCGAACGAGTGCATCGAGGCACGTTATACACGAGCGCTATCTGGCAGTTACCTTCGAAAACGCTTCGAAAATGAAGGAAGGCGTGCGCTCCTGTCTCGGAGGCGATAAGGTGTAGAATGCAAAGTGACGGCAGGTGCCACCACCGTGTCGTCTTAGCAAAGCAATGGAAACACTTGCCTTTTCAGGCTACATTGTCAGCGCAACGTGACAAACGCTGCAGTCCTTGGAATTACTTATGCATACCTTCTCTAGTATAAAGCCAAACATAAAAAAAATATTGACATGTTGTTATGGTCATAGAGTTTCCCACAATACTAACTAGAGGGAACTCTGGCGTTAGTGTCTATGGGAGTTGCAACACACGGCGCTTCAGCGAGCATGGGAATGATGGGTAGTACACACATTTGTCTAATTTTCGTACTTCTGGCCTGCTTCTGACTCCGTGTGTGTTCGTGTGGCTTGGAGCTGTTTTTTCACGAAAACATAAATTAGCAAATGTTCACCGTTTGCGCTTCAAAACCTTATTTTTTAAGCTTACTATTTCGAATCAAGTCCTTAAGTTCAAAAGGGTTTGTTCTTTCTTTCAAAACAAAACCGTAACCAGTAATAAACAAAACCGCAAGTACGATTCGCCGCCCACAAGTATGAAGACTAGGCAAATGTGTGTACTACCCATCATTTCTATGGTCGCTGAACGATCGCAGCGCCAGAGTGCCCTCTAGTTAATTTTGGGAAACTATATGGTTATGGTACCTCAAATATGCACAATTACTGCTTTTGAATTGACAGTCGCACAAGTATGAACGCTGAAACTTGAGCAGTATTGGTGGGTGCTGCGGATCGCGTTGGCCGACAGGGGTATCGGTTGGTGCCGTTTGGGGCATCGTTACGGCGGCCTAACATACCATTGTACAGACAGACGGACAGACCAACGTTCTTACGCCTAAGTATCTTCAAAAAGACTATCGGCTTTAAAACCGAGTGCCATAAACTTGCCTTGATATGTAGCGATGATCGAGGATCATGTTGTCTTTCTTCCAGGATATCGTGAGTGGTTTTTCTCCGAATGCTTCACACACGAGTCGAGCTTGCTCGCCCTTGTTGACACGCAGAGCCTGGTAGCTTACTTTGAAATGCGCGGCCACTGTAGAACAAACATTATGGGGATGTAAAGCAATCTATGGCACCTCACTGTAATTTCCACACATGGGTATAAGATTCTACCTGGACTATTCTTTGCTGGGTGACTCTTTATTCATTTTAATCTAGTCATATTACTTGTACATCACGTTAACTTGTGTATAAAGAGTTGTGAACGAAACGGAAGTTACTTTTCAACTCCGTATATAAAGTGATTCAGATGCAAAACAACCTTTTGCAGTTAGGAGGGATTTTGTCTGGGCAAGTTTGTGTGGCATTTGCGAAGTTAGCCAGCGTGAAAGAGGGACTGAAGACCTGTTGGTCCTGTGGTACTTCTGTCTTTCGTGCAGTTAGTCATGCTGTTTATTTTCGCAACCTGTTGAACGCTATTCTCGACCGAGTAAACCAGCAGATGCGTGTCAAACGAATACAAATGTTCGAAAGTTTTTGGTGCTGCTTGCGATTATCGAAGATCCTGAAAATGAGATAGCGCAATATCTCGCAGACGTGGTGCTTGTGCAAGTCGTTATGAATAAGAGTAACTCACTTCTTTACGGCGGTATTAAAACCTTGTTTCTTCGCAACGTCCTAGCGATGAATACAGCTGCGCACACCTCTTACATAATTCACAGAGATTTCTATTCTTTTAACAATCATTGTAAGCTAATCTCTATTGAAAACAAACATCTTAGGTGAGAGTCACACGTGCCCACAAAAAAGAAACACTTTTTAAGTATGAAGAGCCACCAACCCACACAAGGAAAGAAAAAAAAAGAAAGACAATGAGAAGTACACGTAATATTTTGCCAGAGATTCGTCTCACATTTATTACGCAAGCGAGCTATCGTCAGTGATTATAGGATCCCTTGTTCGACTCAATTTCACACAGCCAAGAAGAGAAAACAAAAGATGATATGGGCAGCAGCGAGGTAAAGAGAGTGACGTGCAAAACGGCCGCTTCATTTGCGAAGATGGAAATGTAATCAGTCTGCGAAGAGAATCGCTGCCGAAATGCCCTGGTTCAATATTACTTTCGGGGCAAAAAAAATAAAAGAAAGAAAAGAAACACCGCGAAAAGAAAAGTTAAACGTTGCTAAAACTAAAGTGGGTCAGCCTAATACCATGGTTCCGGGCACACTCGTTATGGTGCGAGAACGTTTGCAGCCCCACCGGGAACGGAGACACCCACCGTGAACGGAGAGCCGAACGACGGTGCTGATTCCCACGCCGATTCCGTTAGTCGCCTCGCAGAGGTATTGACCAGCGTCCTTGGGCTCGACGTCGTTGATAATGAGAGAACCGTTTTCGAACATCTGCATATGATAATTGCTGATTATGGATTTAAACGCCTTTCCCGCATCGTCTCCTGTGGCATCCGCAGATACGGGAAAAGAAAGCGGGCAGGAAAGTAACGGGAATGGTGGTCAGGGTAAGAAGGAAAAAAGAGAGGAAAGAAGAGAGAAAGAGAAAGATTTGATTAGAAACACCGACAAAAAGGATCTTACGTCGCAATTTACGCAACTAAAAATCAATAAAGAAGGTAGTGTAAATACAGTCTCTATTGAGTGAAATTCATTGGGGAACGAAAAAATTAACACAGACAAACAGAGATTTTTAGTTTTACCTTGTTGCTTATTGTTTTAGCACGTGAATATCTTAGGCCTTTGAAGATTCACAAGTGCATGTCGTTTTTTTTTTCGATCATTCACCCCATTTTATTATGTTACAAAGGAGAGGGCGGTGGATGTCGTTCCACAGCGGATGCCTATTGATCGCCGACAGGAGATGAGGGTTATTTGCCTAGATCTTTTTTCTTCTTTCTTGTCATAAAAGGCCTCCGTTGTACAGCGAGGTCGTATGTGGATGATGCGGCCGAGTCACGCAATTCGTGACGATGTCATCTGGCAAACTAGACCATAACAGCGGCCCCTGTGCAAACCAGCCGCTTCTGGGTGTTCGTGACAACGCTCGTAGAACACCTGCATTGTCTACGAATAGTGATCCCTCTCCCTCTCCTTGCCCTTTTTTATACCTCCCAATTTAGATCATCGTTCTGTCATGATAATGCGCCATGTTAAGCGCAGATAAATGGCCACGCAGCCAGTATCGACCGTCGCGTATGCATGACGTGAATGTGTTTTTTTTTCTATATGTACTGCTATTTATTGTAATATTGCGCAGGTATTTTTTTTTACATCACCACTGCATATAAGCAGAGCATGCCGCATTGACTGGCTCTGTAAATGGAACAGTTGTGAAACGCATGTGCGTGGCACCAGTCGGCTTGCGCAAAACGTTATTACCGAGTAAATCAATACAATATAGGACTGCGCTCAGCTCATCCAAACATTTGCCCGAGTGTGCCACAGCACGAGGTCATTTATGATTCATATCGACGCAAATAGAGTTGCGGGAGCTATGTTTTTAGAACCATGCTATCTATGTCCATGCATCAGTGATCAATAGCGCCAAAAATACTTATTATGCTCCTTTCGTAGCAGCAGGCTTATAATAATATCGAGGTTTTAAGATCGAAAAACAGCGATATGATTATGAGAGACGCCGTAAGAGAGGGTTCCGGAAATTTCGACCGTTTGGGCTCTTTAACGTGCCCCTAAGTTGAAGTATACGGGCTTCAAACATTTTCGGCAGCATCGAAAATGCAACCGCCACAGCCGGGATTCAATCGCATCACCTTCGGGCTAGCAGTCGAGTGCCTTAACTACTGGGCCACCGCGGCGGGGCAGTAGCAGCAAGCTCGTCCCTTGAAACGTACTAACGAAGCATAAACGCCAATAAAAAAACATTAATTTACTGATATATAGGTCTCCGCTAGTTGACAAGTTGTTGCTATTGTTTAACCGTTACATATATATATTAAAAATTGCACTGTTTTACAGGAGCCTATTTTTTTAGTTGCAAACTTTCGACTACCAGTTTTCGCATAGATTCGCACATATTTCCCATACAAAAAAAAATTAGAAGACGCTTGATCTTCGCCTTCAACTGTAGAAACCGATAACGCATTGGACCCGGGGGGGGGGGGGGGGTGCATCGAATTTCGAATTTTAGGCTGGCGTCGATTCTGGGTGCATGCTTCAACCATGCCACAAAGCGACGAATGACTGTGCGTGTAAGAGTGGCCGTTTTAAACTATGCCAGAATGCCTACTGCAAGTACAGTTGTGAATTGCCCGATACGCCATAATTATTCCTTTCGCGAATCAGCGAGCGACCCACTACGCATCCGTGGGGCACCATACGAACCTACGTAGCTGTTCACTACGTTGATGCTTCACCTTCTGGTGGTTCATAAATATGTCCGAGTGCTTTGTAATGTGCGGGCCTTTGAAACCCCTGCTGGTTGTGGAACCCACGTATTTCGACACATGGAGCATTTGTACACGTTTGCTACGCCGTATATATTGCGTTAAGGAAGATCTTCCACCAACATGGCATTCGTACTGTTTCAATGATAGCGAAAGTTGGGCTAGTTGGTGGTTCAGTTTGGGATGTAGAAACCACGCAAAAAATATAGACAAGAACTATATATGTCTTTGTTTTTTTTTTGCGCTGTTTATACATCCCAATCGTTCTGTTTCTTTTTGTGACGTGGTCTCGAGCTAAAGTGTGGGAATGTGATAGAACACCCGCTTTCTACGCAAACAAACTGGGTTTGATTCTCACTAAAAGCAAATATTTTAGTCTATTTTGTCTTCTTTGCATCTGTCGCAATTTTTCGTCAAGGACACGTTGATGATTTTTCGCTCAAAACTAACGACACCGACTCCAACGCCGACGTCGAAGCCGATGCCGCAGTTCTGGCGAAACGAGCTTTTTAACGCTATAGCGTTAAAAATAGATGCAGAATGAAAAACAAAACAAGTCGCACAAGATGTATTCATAGTTAAAATTGCATACAAATTCAAAAAAGATGACACCGCGTGACTAATACACAAGTATAGTTTTCATGTAGTTCTCGCATAAAGCGCTTCACACAAAGTTCATGAAATGAACAGAGCAAATCAAAATAATTGTGCCTATAGCTCCACGACACTCTGGTAAGATGTCAAGGTGCATATCTGCTAACAAATCTTAACTATGGTAGATTTATCAACGACTAATGACATCTAATTACTGTCTGTTTTTATAACATATGTAGTTTTCTTTGTTTTTCAGAATTGCGTCCTATAGTCTTTTAAAGCACTGTTAGGTAGTACAATTTTCATAACCAAACTTATACTTAAACAATTTATATCTTTCTGTATTTTTGTTGACAGCACAGGATAACTACTAGATGCATTATAGTGCAAAGCTGTATGAATAATTTTGCCAATTTATATACAATATAGTTTTTGTAATCCTCATATTGCCGCTTATCATTAGACATGTTCGATAATATCTTTCTTAACAATAAATGTACGGCAGAAAAAAGGCGACAATAAAAAGCAAACTCCTGATATCCTGCAACATTAGTGGTTTAGTTATCAAAGCAATATTCGTTTAATTTAAAAGCTCAAAGATACTGCTTCACTAGAACAAATATTGTTCGTTGTTTTGCTATGTTGCTGACAATGTGAAAAAATGGCACGTTGCAGCAGGCATCTTTCTTTCGCAGAAAGTGATGATGCCGGGGGTGTTTATATACGAAACTTAAGTAACTATTCTCAAGTGAACAAGAAAATTGAACTAGTTTACGTAGGTTTATAGCTTGAAACACAGCTATCTGACACAAATTTCTTGGCCTCTTGTGGTATTTACTGTCGACTGGAGTTGACACTTTCTTTCATAACGCTTATATTAGACTGTTCCAGTCACTTTCCTGATTTGTACGTCCATTTGATTGATTGATATGTGGGGTTTAACGTCCCAAAACCACCATATGATTACGAGAGACACCGTAGTGGAGGGCTCCGGAAATTTTGACCACCTGGAGTTCTTTAACGTGCACCCAAATCTCATGTACACGGGCCTACAACATTTCGCCTCCATCAGAAATGCAGCCGCCGCAGCCGGGATTTAATACCGCGAATTTGTACGTCCATCTCTCTTCAAGACTTTGTAATATCTTGTAGATAACTTTTGTTCTGTGCGTTGTGGTATGTCCAAACTGGTCAAGGACATGACATCGCTATTACCCGTGATTTTGCACATAGATGCTTGGAACATGGAATGACTCACCGAGGGCTATCTTCCATCGAATGAGTGGTGGTGGATGGCCCTCCGCTTGACAGTCAAAAGTAACCCTCGACCTGACGATGCTGGACTTGTCGCTCGGTTCAATCTTCCATTTCGGCGGTACTGTAAGCGTAGCAGTTTCAAACATAGAGCAACGGAGAGACGCATGTTTGTAAACACATGGAAATTGACCGATATAAATCTTTGGATTGTTATCTTGCCCTGGTGGGTGTAGAAGAAAGATTAATAAGATATAAAAAGAAAACATAGCTACCATAAGACACAAAGCACATGCTCACATTCACCGGTGCCAGTAGTACAGGATAAATAACACTTGGCACAGCTACAGTCTTGTACGCAGTGCATCTATTCTGAAGGTTTCCCAGATATTCCCCAGATAACATAGACACACTTTGGGGCCTCATTGGCACAATTTCTATCTGTGAAATATGTACTATCTCACAAAAGTGTGGCACAATATATTTCAATGTTTTAAGCGATAACCATCGCACACTATTTTAAATTTGCTTTTAGTTTGACTCCAAGGCTGAGCTGCGTATCCAGGGAAAAAAGTGACAGAAGTGGTATAGGATTCTATTTATGTAAGAAAGATTGTTACGTGGTATAGGAAAATGTCTTACCGCAGCGTTTACCAGACAGATGACATTTCATGAAGTCTGAGACTGGATTACGACCTCTGACGAGCATTCGATATCATGTGATAAGCAGAAGCCGCTTAATGATGAACATCACGTGCATTAATGTCTTTAGAAATGTCAGGAGCAATTGTATTAGCTAAAATTGTATTTAAAATTGAATCAGAAACAGCGAATGTGAATATAGTAATGATATCTGGGGCTTTCCAACCCAAAACCACGATATGGTTTTGAGGACAACGTAAGATCCGGCAATTTAGACCAATCGGCGTTTTTTAACCTACACTCGCCTCACACAGCCTCAACTATTCCGCATTCACTAAAATGCTACTGCCATGGCCGGTATCAAACCCGCGAACTTCATTGGCGTTAGCAGCTGAACACTGTAACGGCTGATACACCGTAGCGGACAACTGCAGAGGTATGTTCATTAAATTAAATTCTGGTTAAAATAATGAAGCCTCAGATTCTCATTCTATCTTATCCGAAAATGAAGAAGAGAGAGTGACGCGTGGCAGCTGGTATTGATAATCCCGAAGCTGACACCTTGCCGCAAGCACTGCTGTAAAACAGACTATTTCGCAGAGGTATAAATATAGCTAATTTTGGCATTTCTTTTCTTCAGTGGTCAGCTATAGGTGAGAAGCCATCGCGTATTGACGCTTAAATGCCACAGTTATTGATAGTATGTTAGAAAGTGCTGAAATTGCGGTTTTTCGTTAGAATACACAGTGCTTCATGAACGCATATATTACTTAACATAATTTTTTACCATACATAGGCGTACCCAACCGAACCTATTTCATTTACTTATGTGTATCGCAGATACACCAAATTTAAGTCGTAGTCGGTGTACGTGCGTGTTTGTAAAAGACGTTGATAGGGCCCAGAAGCCAAAGGAAGTGTTTCGCAGGAGTTCATAGGGGTAACACCGCATCACAAGCGAAACATTTTGATCAGTTTATTACTATGTTTTGCAAACATGTTTTAGAACTACTCTTGCAATACTTTCAGTAATCTTTTTTGTGTTTGATGAGCTAAAAATAACGAATTGTCGTGGCATACTTCAAACTTGTATACTTGGAAGGACAGCGTTGTCTTGGTCTCTGCAAGTTACTTGTTTTTCTGCATCGCCTGCGGAAGCTATATAATGCAAGAAACGTATACAATACCTATACAAAAAACTTCGTGGTTTAGTTCAAACCGGGGATAACACAAACATCATTTGAGTATTATTTAACAGAGCTTTACTCTTGGGCTGTCCGTCGCGTACCTCCAATGACTAGCAACGGCCTTCAGCTGTGACCTCATACATATTGCAACAGGTTACATGCAGGCTAGCACTGCTAGAACTGAATTCCCCCAAAATGTGCTCCGCTGGAACTAAGCACCGGCGCAGAACTTCAATAAGATCGCAAGGGGCACGCGCTTTGTTATTCGGGCGTTAAAACCAGGTATATACTTGGTGATACATATTGGATTTTGTGGTCCTGCAGTCCACTAACACATATTTAATTACTGAACGTCCAAACTACCTTTTTATTGCTGCGCGACGAAAGGCTTATCAAAGCAGAATATTAAATTAAGCCAGGCCACATTTTCTGACAAGAAGATATCATCCTACATATCTACTTTTTTTCCTATGGTAAAACAGCAAGACCTTTATTGAAAAGGCAAGAAAACTGAATGTGAAATATGTTGTTACGCAAAGCATAGTTTTGTAATGCAAATCTGACGACAGCCTCTTAACTGACTCCTGAAAAATTACTGGTAATAGCACTTTGTAAATACACACCACTGAAGATGAAACAAATAAGCAAGGAAACTGCTTTGCATTGAAGCCTAAATAGAAAGCTGCTCTTACGAAAGAACCCGTACTGAGCACATCTAATCAAAATGAACGATGTAGTAGCGACCGCGGCGCAATCATAATTTCCGAGCTGTCCCTGTAAAAGTAACAATTTCAAGTACAGAGTTTCGGCAGTGCTTGACAGGGTGAATTTTGTGAACGTGAACTTTTTATGTGTTTGATGCAGCAGATTTGCTTTCAAATAAAGTAATCTCCATATTTTGTTCAATTAGAGAGTCGAGCAACGTTCAATATTGTCCAGCTTGTGGTCTCAGTGAAATTCGTTGAAGTCCTGAACAATTTTATCGACGGAGCTCTTTACACTAATATTAACGCCGGGTAGTGCTCAGAGCAATTATCGTCATCACTAACAGTGCACGCTTCTTCAGTTAAAAAATGTCTGGTTATATTGTATATATACAATTGTTATAAACTAGGCAATAACAACAACAAAAAAAGAAAAACCCATCTTGCCCGATTATGCATATCGTCCAGGCGACTCGAATGCGTGAAGCATATTTTTCCTCATTCTTCCAAATTCGTTTTATCGTTCCCCAAAAGCTCTTTGCACCTTGCGTGCGTTAGCATTTCTACCAGGATCAATTCGTCTTGGACCAAATGACTATATCATTTTATGGCTTCATCACATGACGTCAGGATGTTGTGTCACATTTCGTATACCTATGATGTCATGATGATGCCATACGATAACGTCACTCCATGTCATCTTTTTTTTCATCATTCCTGTTGACACCGACGTTCCCTTTTCGCGGTTGATGAAGCCTCCAAGGCTTTCGTTTTAACAACGTGCCCACCAGTACTCACCGAATACGACAAGTTCGGCCGTGTGGTTCGTGATTCCGCCGTCGTTCTCAGCGACGCACGTGTAACGCCCGTTGTGCGCACGGCCCACGTCATTGAACACGAGGTTCGAACCAAGGTCTCCCAGCGATGCCTCCTGTATGTTCAGCTGGGTCTTGCTGAAAGGCACGCCGTCTTTGAGCCACCATATCTTGATGGGCGTGTCGCCGGAGCGGACCGAACACGTGATCACCACCTGCATTCCTTCGGCAAGCGTCTTGGGAAAACTGAACGGGTTCAGAACCGTTTTTTCTGCAAAGGGGGTGATCGAAAAGTAGTGTTAGGTCCACGTTTCTCTGTCAGAGAGAAAACATGCAAGGCGAGCTACATATTTTACGTCCTTGGAGCCGTATACATCCTGCAGCGTTTCTACGTTTCCCTTTCTGCCGCTTGAATTGGAACATGGATATGTGGCCGCCACTTACTCGAATGAGGTGGTGGCCACTATTACCCCCATCATTTTATTTCTGACCTTTTATTACACTCCCATAAAATTTACTTGCAGTTTTCTCAACTTTGATGATGATAATTGTATGGCGATGATAGTGATTGAGTGTAATGGAATTCTCTCTTGAATGTTGTAGAGATGAATGGTCATCGAGTTTGTTTCTGTCTTTTTTCGTTTCAATATAGCATTTTGTTATCTATTTAGCTCTACCGTTCTATTTATATTTTAATTTTGCTATTACTTTGATAGAAGCCTCTATTTTAAAGGCAAATTGTTAGGTACGTCTGTAACGACAGCGGTTTGGTCTACCAATCAATGGAGAGCAGTGTCACCCCACAACCATGGTTGTTACTACACGCAAGTCCAATCTTTCTAAGAAAATGCACGCATGTCAGATGGACAGTGAAAGCACCGCATTACGAAGCCACAGCTCGGAGATGAAATCGCGAGTCAATATACTTAGAATATTATTTGCTTCATTTGTTATTTCTTTTCCGCGCTCACGCTGCATGTGAATTGGTGGGGATGAGGGGCATACGGCGAAAATAACCTGGTTTGGTCGTTTAATAGTGGTGCCTTGTAACTAAGTGCTCGGATATTTTGTGCAGATCCTTTGTGCGCTTCCCCTCCACCGCAAATCATTATAACAAAGACGAAAATGCTTATACTCACTGATTATCTTCAAGTTGAGATCTTTGCTGTCTTCCTGCTTAGGTGTCGTGGCACGGCATGTGTAAATGCCTTCGTCAGACTCTCGCGTGACATCGGTGATGACAATCGTACCATTTTCAAAGGCACGCTGCCTCTCATTGTGTGGCAGATCCCTCCCGCCTGCGTATTGTACGAGAATGGCAGCAGATAAAGAAAACAGTAAGCGTTTATTTGTTGCGACCGAAGAATTTACCCGAGCAAGAAGACTTTGCTACAATTTGGCTTAGACACTGACCTGCATATTACATAATGCTACTCCAGGAAGACTAACATGTTGAGGAAACCTCGTGCAATGGTTTCTTCAAAACTAAGCTTCCCTCCCTCCCCCCCCTCTACGATCATTGAAACGTCTTCAACTACATTTTCTTATTCTTCAAAGCTTAGGCTGAATACTGGGCCTAAGTAAGAAGCTCTTTAAAATCGAGATGTAGTCGCACGGCATCGTATGTAACCTGTGTGGTTATCAAAGAACATTTTTCCATTCTGCAAGCTTTTCAAATGACGCAGCAAGATTAGGCACTTAGAAACATTTGTTTTGGTTATAATTGTTTATTTGTTTGTGTAATTTAAGTCCTCCTTAGCTCTTTCTGTTAAACAGGTACGATTATTATTTTGAAAACAATGCGTATTTGTGTACACCGCTCTTAGATACAGAATCTACTGGCATATATTTGCATGAATATATTACTTTGTGATGTTATTTTACAGTTTTAGTTGGGCGTCCAGAGCAGCTCTACGCGCGCCCAACTAAAACTGCCTAAATAGAACGCTTCAGTTCAGAGTACCCAAAGTGGCTAGCGTACGTAAACCCTCGCATCCCTTTGGATTCTCCGTTGGCACGGCTAGGTGTACAATAGAACTCAAGGGTGTGTGTACGCGAACCACTTAGCCCCTCACTACGACTCTCTAATATTTAACTTCGCGAATGAACTTTCACTCAAACGAGTCGTCACCGACCTCGACTCCACGTGACTTTCGGTGCCGGGTGTCCCGTGTAAGGGCAGTGGTACACCAGCGTGGTGCCTGACGTCACGGTCAGGTTGGCCATGGGCCGTACTCGGGGAGGACCCCGGACGTCGATGCGGTCCTCGTGCCACACGGTGCCCAGGTCGTTGGACGCCTCGCACCGGTACATGCCTCCGTCGTCGCGCGTCGACGACGTCACGTTCACGTAGCTGATGACGTCGCCCGCCGAGCTAACGAAGTCGCCGTAGTGCACTCGGTGACTCTCGCCCACCATGCCGCCGTCTAGTGCCCACGTGACACGCGGAAGAGGGTTGCCCGAGGCCACGCAGCGCAGCGAAAATCGCTCGCCGGGATCGACAAGCTTGCGCGCGAACACTGCCTTCAGCTCCGGAGGTGTCTCTGTCAAGGCAAACATAGGGGACTTCCTGGTTCATAAACGCCTTTACGAATTGTAGTGATACCGAATAACACAAGCGACACGATGATATCCCTTAATTGATTTCTGTTCCTAGCAATGCTTTAGCTACAGATCAAAGAGGGTGGTTAAAAAGAGATGGTGTTTCTGTTCATACAAAATGCCAAGGAAAGAAAGCGAGAGCGACACTCCTCCTTGTAATAAGCTTTAAGTCATTGCAGTCTGGCGGGAGTTGATCACAATTACAAGGTGTTTGCGAAACAAGCAAAGGCACGTTGTGCAGTACTTCAGAATGACATTTTATACCCGCAAGTGCAGTCGCAAGAGTTGCGTAGTGCGTTCCAATCAAAATGTACCATATAGACTAAATTATACGGCTAAAGACTTTTTTGTGTTATTATTTTTGGGTAATCAAGGCAGGCTACATTATTCAGAAAGAGAATATAAATTCTAGGATGACTGCCAGTTGGGCGTGTTGGTAATGGTTCATGATGAGACAAGCGCAAAAAAATACACACACTCAGAGAGGACACAGACAAGCGCTTACTAGCAACTGAAATTTTTATTTCGAAGCGAACACTAATAAATACATCACACGCATGAACGCCACTCCCAACTTCCCCTCTCATCATCAAAAACGTGATATTACAAAATATGCACACGCCCACAACCGCGAACAAACACATACCAAGAACTAAGAAAAGAAAACGTAAGAAACAAAGAAACATAAATAAAAAAAACGTATCACAAAGAAAAACACTGGGTTATTTGACGTCCAAAAAAGCAAATTACGCGTATGTTAGTAGAACTGACGCTTGGCTGACGCCTTGGCTTTTTGTAACACCTGTGGTGTGGATTAGAAGGTTTTATGGAGATTTTGGCCATGTATCTGAGTTCCCCGCTAGTGGGGTGGAATGAAGAAGTGTACGTCCAGAAAGATGGGATTTGCATTGGATCTAGTGTCGCCCCGATCTTATGCAATGTTTTTTTTTGAGCAAACTTGACACAGTAGTAGGTAAAGAGCTAGATGGTATGGATCTGAAGCTGTTTAGATTTGTAGATGACTACCTTGTTTTGGTAAAAAACGATCCGGGTATGAGCACGTTAGTGACTGTTTTAAAAGCTTTTAGGAAAAACGGGTGTGGCTTACAGTTTACCTTTGAAGTGCCAAAGAAACGACGCATTCAGTTTCTGGACCTAGAAATAAAAATTAATTTGTCTCCTTTTCACACGTGTGTGATGTATCACCCTAGATCGGAAAAACCATTGCTGAGCTATCATTCGGCACATTCGAAGATAGTAAAGAATGGGATTGCAACCTCTTGCATCAAAGCTGCCCTCATAAAATCGTGCATACACTCATTGAATTAGAGTGTTTCCGCGCAGATCAAGCGCTTGAGGGGAGCCGCTTACCAAGATGATTGTATCCTTTTGGCCTGTGAGAAGAATCGTCGGGAAGTAAAAAATGCAATCATTGGCACAAGCCAAGACAGGAGACAAGTTGAGGGTGAAAGAGAGCGGACAGTGGTGATCCCATATCTGCACAATGTTTCACATATATTGAAAAAAGTTGCATTAAGGTATGACGTGCGGGTTGTTTTTTCAGCTGAAAACAAGTTATCAAAGATTTTTCCAGCAGTGGAAAGGCTAGTTAACAAGAAAGGAACTGGGGAATCGAAAAAATGCAGCATAAAGCATGGCAAAAGGTACGTTGAGTGCAAAAAAAAAAGTTGTATACTGAACCCCTTTCACATGTGGAAAGGAATACGTTGGTCAGACGGGTCGGTGCCTAAATGTGCGCCTTCGTGAACATGAGAGTTCACTAAAGGGGGCCCCTTACTCACATTTAGCGATGCACTGCAAGAAATGCACATGCCAACCGAAATTGTACGACACACGAATAATTGACAGGCACAACAAGCGGACGACAAGAGAGATAATAGAGGCGTATTGAATAAGGAAAGAGGGAACAGTTGCGTCAGCCAAGCGTCAGTTCTACTAACAGATGCAGAATTTGCTTTTTTGGACGTCACAAAACCCAGTGTTTTTCTTTGTGTTACGTTTTTTTATTTATGTTTCTTTGTTTTTTACGTTTTCTTTTCTTAGTTCTTGGTACGTGTTTGTTTACGGTTGTGGGCGCGTGAATATTTTGTAATATCACGTTTTTGATGATGACAGGGGAAGTTGGGAGTGACGTTCATGCGTGTGATGTATTTATTAGTGTTCGCTTCGAAATAAAAATTTCAGTTGCTAGTAAGCGCTCGTCTGTGTCCTCTCTGAGTGTGTGTATTTTTTTTACGCTTGTCTCATCATGATAAATTCTAGGTTGAAGGTAAAAAATGATGCAGTGCGAATAGAACGGAGATGCAAGTGCTATATGCGACCACTATCACGTAGTTAAGCGCGCATAAAAGCGGCGACGTCTTGGTCATTGCAACCAGATGAGATTATCAAAACACCACGCCTAATTTGTCAAATTTTCTGAAACGTTTTCTGTGTTAATTGCTTACTAATTGGAAGGCTATTTCAAAAACGTAGAAATCACATTTGGAACTCGCAATTATGACAAATGCCGGTGAAAATCGCTGAATTAGTATACCTTATTGAAACCCTATTGATAGATAAAATTTGCAGATATATCGATGCACCCACAGGTGCGACCTCTCAATGGTTTTTGCAGTAAATAGTAATACCGTTCCAATACTGCTCAAAAAAGATTTAGCAGCTGCAATCAATGAAATCCTCTACCAATGCAGCTCAGAAAAGTGTGTCTTATTTGTGAGCATTTCGAGTGTTACAAATCACAATTTGATAAAAACCATTGATTTTCTAATTTATGTGAACTCAGATAAGACTTTCAATTATTCGAGCTAGATTGTTTATATTTTGATATATGTATTAAAATTAGCTTGAACTTCTTTTGCGAATATTACGTCTTATTCTAATGAACCGGACACAATTCATCCGCTGCTAAAGTCTATGACACACCCACAGAGCATAACAATGTTTTCTGAAATGAAGCACTGTTTTCTAAAAAAAAAACAGCCAAATAAATTTTCATTTGTAAATTCAGGCAAGAATTGCTTCCTTACTAATCTGACAACAAATGGTCTTAAGAATGTATGCGACTATTTATGTTAAATGTAGAAGCATTTTTGATAGTTGTAGTCGCAATGAAGAAACGTAAAAACAACAGACATGCCCTTACAGCGAGCTGTTTTAAATCACGATCATTTAGACAGCGTCCTTCAGAAGGCGACCGAAAGAAGAAAAAATGTGCCAGTCAGTGGGGAGACGCGTTATTTTATTAAGCTTAATACTCACTCATAGCTTCGTCAATACGCGACTCAACAAATTCCAAGCACCGAAAGGAACGACGCCGCGCGAGAGAAAAAGGAGCAATCATGAAACGTAAATAAAGATACATAAATAGAAAGAGAGGAGAGAAGGTTTAGGCGCGGACAAGTGGCAACAGGTTCGTAAAGGGGAGCTCACTGAAGAACACAACTCGTAGCAGTCACTCCCAAAAGGTCCCGACTCTCCTATGTAGGCAAAACTGACACACGCACACACGCCAACAGGGAGTCGTCCAACGCGCCACAAAAGAAACGCATCCAGGCGCCCGCCACGGCGACCCTCTGCGCCGACAGAGGGCAGATCTCGTGCTCCGGCTCTTCCTTTTCCGGCGCCTCAAGACAGACGGTCGCGACAACACGACATGGGCGGGTGTTCTCTCGCCTGCGAACGCGGAGAACGGGAAAGGGCAGGCGAGCGTGTGTGTGTCTCTTTCGAGCTTCTCGCAATGACCAGCGCACCGATCCGAAGATGTTGCACAGGCACCGTCTCTCTTCGCTCTTGCTTCGAGACACGCGTTGCCCGTTACACTAGTCGGTCTCGTCCTTGTTATCCCCCCCCCCCCCCGCCCCACCACGACCACCCGCAACGTTGCGAAAGCTCTCCTTCCAAGGCGAGAGTCACCGTGCATGCCTTCCCTAAGCTCACGCCTGTCCCTGCTGTCCTTTTTCTCCTCTGCAGAGCATCTTGAGGAAGCGGAGCGCGCAGCGCGACGCCAAATGAACACGGCGGAGGCCAAAGGCCTACGTCGGAGACGTGATTAATGGGCCAGCCAAGCGTAGCCGTAAAGTCTGCGTGCCCCTTTCAGGTCTCGCCTTCGTTTCCTCCATCGTTCTCGCGAAGGGTGGGCCGGAGAAGAGAAACAGTGCCGGGGAAAACAGTGAGTTTGTTCGCAGTGCTGCAGGCCCGGTTATCCCGAAGATTGATATTGCCTCGGTTTTCTTAGCGTTGGGCTTGGCGCGGACAAACAGACACGCCGCGTGGTTCCCGTAGAACGAAACTTGGAAGGGAGTTGGTGAGGGAACGTAAGGAAGGGTAAAGGAAGGGGAGTTTGAGAGAAGGTTTGTGAAAGTAACAAAGCATGACTTGGCTGAGTTCGACTCGGTTTTAGTCTTCGTTCGCATACTTGCTTGTTTTGGTCTGCTTGTTTGCTTGCTTGCTTCCTTTCGCGTTTTGCGTGTGTATCTTTTATTTTTATTTTGTTTAAAACTAATAAGAGTATTAAAGTTGGAAAGCAAAACGGGCAGCACCAGTCTGAAGGAGCCCATGAAACGCCAGAGTAGCGTCGAATGAGCCGGTCTGTGTGATGTTACAGTGAGAGGCTGGCGAAATAAGAAGTGGTTCAAACGCCTAAAAGGCACTGAATGTAATTTACCCAAAGTATCGGTTCAGTCATCTTCTCGGATTCTCACCCAAACGCTGGATTATATATAGTTCGTACCAAACGGTCATGTTTCAGGTAATGTTCTTGAACTAATAAATTGGCCAGACAGCTCAATTTCAAACCCAGAACCTAAACTTTTGAATGCATGGCAACTGTAGATTTTTTCACAGTCACAGGGTGCAGTGAACAAGCGGTTGCGAAGTAGAGAAAGTAGTAGATTTTATATACTTGTCTTGCTTGAGCTGT